TCAAGGGAGCGGATGGCAAGCCGGTGGTGCTGCACGACGTTCTCCTCGTCCCGGATCTGAAGGCCAACCTTATCTCCCTCCGTAAGCTTGGCAAGGCTGGGGTGAACACCAACACGGATGGGGCTCGCACTTATAAGGGGAAGCTGGGCAATCGGGTACTTTGGGATCTGCACGAGAGCAAGGACGTGTACAGATCTATGTGGCAGCTGCCGGCGCTGGCGTGGCACGGTGGGGGGCAGGCTGGAGAGGGGTCTGCATCCCAGGGGGAGTGCAACGCCGTTGGAGGGGTAGGTGTGAAAGTGTCGGCCAGATCTGGGGAGACAGATTGGGCAACGGCACATCGACGCTTGGGGCATGTGGCAATGCCCTTGCTGAAGCAGCTGGAGAAGGATGGAGCCGTTAAGGGTCTGAAGCTGAACGGACAGCCACCCGATGATAACTGTGAAATCTGTTTGCTCTCAAAGTTTACCCGTTTCCCCTTCCATAGTGTGGCTGGCAGGAGCAAGAAGCCTTTGGAGCTGGTCCACATGGACTTGGTGGGGCCGCTGCCGGTTCAGGGGCACAAGGGGGAGCGGTACTTTCTGACCATAGTGGATGATTGGAGCAGACTCATGTGGGCGTATCCGCTGAAGCAGAAAGATCACGCCGCCTCCACGATTCGGGACGATTGGCTGCCGTTCGTGGAGAAGCAAGCAGAGTGTGTGGTGAAGCGGATTAGGACAGACCGGGGTGGTGAGTTCCTTGGAGCTGAGATGACGGCTTGGCTCAAGAAGCAGGGCATCCAGAGGGAGCTGACCACGGCTTACACCCCACAGTCGAACGGTGTAGCAGAACGGGCAAACCGGACAATTCTGGAGACAGCTAGGGCGCTGCTCATAGAATCTGGGCTGAGCAACTCGATGTGGCCCCATGCTGTCCGGCACGCCACCGTCGCTAGGAACAGGGTGCTCACTAAGGTTGGGGATGACTCGTGGGTGCCGTTGGAGAGGTGGCTTGGGAGGAAGCCGCCGGTGGACATGCTGAGGGTGTTTGGCTGCATGGCAGTCGCCCACGTCCCCAAGACCTACCGCAGTAAGTTGGGGGCGAGCGCAATCTGGTGTGTGCATTTGGGGCTGGCTGCTGAGAGCAAGGGATGGCTGCTGTGGGAACCATCCAAGGGTGTGTTGTTTGACAGCAAGGATGTGAAATTCATTGAGGGCATGATGTATGGAAGCTGGGAGAAACAGCCGGAGGCAAGGGTGTCCCAGCAGATGGAGCAAATCACCATGCAGCTGGACCTGGCTCCTAGTGTGTAGGAGGAGGGAGAGGAGGCAGCTGCAGGGGGTGGTGATGGAGCGAGGGTACAGGAGGCACCTGCTGGTGGAGAAAATGGTGTGGAGACTGGCGGTAGCACTAGTGAAGCTGCTGGATCCGAGGGAGGAAAGCAGCAGCAGGGGAAAACTAAGAAGCCGAAGGGTGTCGTTATGAAGGGATGGGAGACACCCGTCTCCAAGCCAGGACGTACCCGTATGGCTACTAAGAAGCTGACTGCAGGAACTGATGCAGCAGAGCAGCAACTAGGGACCGAGGAGGCATTGCTGATTCTACCGCATGGCTATGACCCGGATGAGGAGGATGAGCCTGCGTACTGTTTTCTTGCCCCTGCACCAGAGGAACCAGCTAGCATGGAGGAGGCATTAGCTGGACCAGATAGGGACAAGTGGCTGGCTTCTAGGGATGCTGAGTACCAGAGCCTGCTGGAGAATGGGACTTGGGAACTAGTGGTGCTGCCTGAGGGAAAGAAAGCGGTACAATGCAAGTGGGTGCTAAGGATCAAGACTGACGACAAGGGGCAGGTCACCATCTACAAGAGTAGGTTGGTGGCTAAGGGGTTTATGCAGAAGGAGAAGCAGAACTTCAACGAGATCTTTGCTCCCACTGTCAAACCCCCTACCCTCCGTGTCTTGTTGGCAGATGCAGCTGTTAGTGGGAAATTCATCATGCAGATGGATATATCAACTGCATTTCTCAACGGCATTTTAGAGGAGGAGGTATTCATGACGCAGCCGCCTGGGTATGAGGATGGTACGGGCAGGGTGTGCAAGCTGAAAAAGTCAATCTACGGCTTGAAGCAGGCGCCACGCTGCTGGTACCAGAGGTTGGCAGCTGTTTTAGAGGAGATAGGATTCAGGACCAGCAGCTGTGATGAAAGCCTCTTTCTCAAGGGCGAGGGGGAGAAGCTGGTGCTGTTTTTGGTCTACGTGGACGACATTCTTCTCTTCAGCAGCAGCATGAAGGAGATCCAAAAAATTCAGCAGCAGCTGATGGAGAACTTCAAGTGCAAGAACCTTGGGGAGGTAAAATACTACCTCGGGATGCATGTGGAGAGGGATCCAGATCACAGGTGGTTGAAGCTGCACCAGGAAAAGTTCATCAAGGAGCTGGGGGAGAAGTATGGGATTGAGAATGAGCGCAAGGTTGCAACTCCCCTGCCAGCAGAATTCAAGCTTGTGAAGGCTGCAGAGGATGAAGGGGTTGAAGCCGAGGAGCAGCAGCAATTCCAGTCCTTGGTGGGCAGCCTCTTGTATGCAGCAGTTCACACGAGGCCCGACATCTCTTTCTCAGTTGGGCAGCTGGCTAGGGTGGTGCAGAATCCATCAGAGGAGCAGGTGGATGCAGCTGAGCGCGTGGTGAAGTATCTGAACTCCCACCCAAGCATTGGAGTTCAATACTCCGCATCTGCACAGGTGAAGCAGAAAGGGGTTGAGGTGCTGAAAGAGAAAGGGGAGAGGCTTGGAGAAGGCAAGCTCTTTCTCACTTGCTTTACTGATGCTACTTGGGCTTCTGAGAAGGAAGATTCCTCATCTGTGGGAGGATACATTTGCGTAGTTGGGGGAGGACCTGTTAGTTGGAGGTCCAAGAAGCAGACGGAGACGGCACTCTCTTCCGTGGAATCAGAGTACATGGCAATGTTTCATGGGGTGAAGGAGGTGATTTGGCTGAGGAGGCTGTTAGAGGAGATTGGCCAGGAGCAGAAGGTTGCTACGCCGCTGTTTTGTGATAGCAAGGGGGCTCTTGGGATGGCCAGGAACGCTGTGCTTCATGGGCTGAACAAGCACATGCGTATCAAATGGCACTGGCTGCGTAAGGAGGTGAAGAGAGGGACAGTGAATCCGATCTACGTCAAGACTCACCAGCAGCCAGCATACTTTCTCACCAAGAGGCTTGCGGATGAGCCTCATTGGCGTTGTGTGCGCATGAGTGGAATGAGCATGAACTAGCATGGAATGATGGAAATGCAGCCGGCAGGCTGAGGGGGAGTGTGTTGGGTGCAAATTCACTTTGCACGACATCCTGCCGTCTGTTTGTACGAGTATGCGTGTGCGAATGCATTTGCGTGTAAATGGTGTGTTCGTGTGTTTGTTTGCTTTTGCAATTTTCGGTTGAAGCTTTTGCAGGTACTCGCGCAATGTGCGCTTCCGCACAACATTGTACGCGCTATGAACAGTGCAAGCAGAAAGGACGAGCTCGCAAAGGAACCCAAGATGGAAGCTTTGCAGTTCGGTTGAATTGATTGCGCAGATTCAGTTCTATCCAGCTCGAAATTGTACTGTATTGTTTAGTTGACTATAGTGTAGCAGGGCAGGCACTATAGGGGTACAATTTAGGTGAAGGTTGGATGTTGTTTGTCTGTATCTGCATGCTACAAGCCCAGGGGAAACCAGCGGAACCGGCATTTGGCTGGTTGGGCAAAGACAAAACAGGTTCTGTTTTTAGAACCTGAACCTGGTTGTTGTTTTCCCAGGTTGGAAAAACAGAACCAGAGGTTGTTTACCAACCTACCACCTGCTATTTTGTCCAGCCAGGTTGGTTCTGTTTCTTGGAATTATTTGGGATCATCCCTGGTTCTTCCCCAGGTTGATTCCCAAGGTCCTTGCTAGCTAGAACTATTTAGTCCTTCTCTGTTTGTACCTGGATATAGTCAATTGATTCATGTGAATTCCTTCCTCGCTGGAATTTCGTTTCTACGCGGTTCGTTGGCGGAATGCTACCCGAGTCAACACTAGTACGCTAGCACTCTAATGCTAGGCAAACGCCGTCCGAGCCATAACTTTGTAATGGCAAAACTTTTCGCGAGGCAACTTGGCTCATTTTAAAGCTCTTGGAGCGAGCTTCGATATAGCGAATTCTCAGCTTAATCCAATCGACGGTCTGCACGTCACGCTGCGCGACGTTCAAGGTACTCTCGCTATTTTGGCTAAGTCATTCTTGGTTCCTCTCTCTACAAACTCGGACCCGAGGATAGGGGCTGGTCTTGTACCAGGCACCCAGGGACCCTTGGAGGTGACCCCGAGGAGAGGTTTTAAGTTTGATTAAGTCTTAATAGCTTGAGTTTATTAGGCCCTTAAACCAACAAACGCTGCAGCAAGTAGGCTGCACAGCATTGCACCCGCCTGACAACGGTGCACCAGCTTCGCAGGTGCGTGCAGCTGGTTGGTGCCCAACTCCCCGTCACACGCCCAGCGCAGACACTCCACTCGTGACGGCGCCCACCAGCCACGTCGACCTCGGGATACCACCCCCGAGGTCGTCCTCGCAGAAACCACCCCGGCGACTTCCGCACAAATCGCCCGAGTATCCTGCGCTCCCGCGGCTCCTGCAGTCCCGTGGTCTCCCGCGGTCCCATGGTCTCCCGCGGCCTCCCGCGGCCTTCAGCCATTCCCGCGGTCCCGTGGCCTCCCGCGGTACCCGCGGCCTTCCGCGGTCCCCCGCGGTTCCCGCGGTCCCATGGCCTCTCGCGGCCTCCCGCGGCCTTCTGCGGTTCCCCGCGGTCGTCGAGGTCGGCTCCGCCCAAGCGAGGACGGGACCAAACACCACTCCCTTGACACTCCCCTGCAGCATTCACGCTTGGGCCCCCCCCCCAGCCCACACGGCAGCACTGCTCAAAGGATAGCCCGTCGGCGTGCACACAACGCACAGCACGCCGGTCACCACACCAGCCATGCAAGAAGGCATGGCACCTACTGCTGCACGTCGTTGTCGCCGTCGCCCACGTCGGCCAGCCGCACTTGGCCGATTGCGACGGAGCACCGGTTGAAGGTCGAATAGTGCAGCGCCTTCGTCAAAAAGTCAGCTGGCTGCTCCGTGGTCGGGATGTATTGCAGCGAAAACTTCCCGCGCTTCACCATGTGCTGCAGCCAGGCCTGTCGCCGCTCCATGTGCTTGAGGTTGCCCGTCAACCCCATGCCCTCGGCGACCGTGATGGCCGACTTGTTGTCCACCCGGAGGACAGTCGGCTTCCCGGCGTCCAGCTGCGAGAACTCCGCAAGTAGGAAGTGAAGGCGACGTCCCTCCTTGCCGGCTTCGACGGCCGCCACGTACTCCGACTCGGTCAACGACAGCGTCGCGCACTTGATGCGCTGGCTCGACCAAGAGACCGCGGCCCCTCCGTAGACGAACACGTAGCAGCCCGTGCTCATCCGGTTACCTTGTCGTCGCCGATGTTAAAGTACAGAGCCTCGTCGACTTGGCTCTTCTTCCACCCGGCGCCGACCAACACGTCGTTGAGCGCCTTGTACCACAGCAGCGGCGACTGCTTCAGCCCGTAGAGGCACTTCAGCAGCTTGCACACCCGGCCGGTCCCGTCGTTGAAGTAGTCCGGCTGGTACATGTACAGCACGCGGTCGAGCTTGCTCTGCAAAAAGGCGTTCTTCATGTCCAGCTGCATCAGGTTGAAGTCGAGGACGGCGACGATGCTGAGGAAAATCCTCAGCGTGACGTAGCTGCTCACCGGCGCGTACGTCTCGTCGTAGTCAGCGCCATACACCTGCGTGAAGCCTTTCACGACCAATCTCGCCTTCTCGCGCTCGACGGTGTCGTCGATGCGGTACTTCGTCGTCAGCAACCATCGGTTCTTCATGATGTTGACCCCGGGTGGGCGTTCGACCAGCTCCCACGTGCCCATGTTGATGAGGCTGCGGATCTCTTCTTCCATGGCGGCCTTCACCGCCGGACCCTTCCAGCTCGCCAGCGCCTCCTTCACCGTCATCGTCGCGATGTCCCAACGGTGCTCGGGGTCGGCGTGCATATCGGGGTCGAGCTCGGGAAACTCCTCATCATCCGCGGCGTCGTCGTACGCCAGGTCATCGTCATCAACGTCGTACACCGTGGTGAAGGCAGCAGGGACGAAAATATTAGGCGGCCGACGAAGTCGGCCTGTCCGCCGTGGCAAAGTCTGGACTTCCACCACATCGCTGTTGGTGGACTCCTCGCAGTCCCGCAGTTCCGCGGCCCCCCGCGGTCCCGCGGTCCCGCGGTCGGCGCCCGCAGTCTCGCAGCCCCCGCGGTTACTGCCCTCAGCGTCCGGCTGCACCACGGTCGGCGACCTTGCCAGCTGCTCCGCGGGCTCCTCTGCGGTCTCCTCCGCGGTCTCCGCGATCTCTAAAGTTGGCTGCACCTCCGCGGCCCGCTTTTCCGCGACTGCATAGCTGGGTGTCATGCTCTTGGCCGGCGCCACAAGCGACGCCCCATTGCTCCCCTCATCGCCGGAGGCCGACACCGTAGTCAGGCCACGCAGGTCGACGGGAAGGGGACGGGAAGAAGGGGCAGGGGAAGGCGAGGCAGGGGCGACTGCGGCATCCCCATCATCCTGCTCACCGACCGCAGCGAGCAGAGGAAGCGTTGCCGTCGAGGTGTCCGTAGGCGGGTTGGCCCGCGTCCGTCTTGACGCTGGCCCGAGTTCCGACTTCCACACCTCCAGCGACATCGTCTCGTAGAACACCACGTCCGACGTGGTGACCACCCGGTTGGCGGCAATGTCGAGGAGCTCCCAGCCTTTGCTCTCCTCCGACACGCCGAGGTGAAGGCCCCACCGGGCCTTCGGCTTCAGCTTCCCACCGCGCTGCTGCTCGGGGACGAGAAACTGCGCCATGCAGCCCCACACCCGCGCCATCGACAAGTCGGGCTTCTGCCCGGTGAGGAGCTGGTACGGCGTCGTCCCCGGTGGCAGCGTCGACCGCTCCAGGCAATTGCGAACCCAGACGACCAGCCGCAGAGCAAGATGCCACCAGTGGTGCTGCACGCCCATGTGCAGCAGCATCATCCGCACCGACTCCACCACCGTCCTCATCTCCCGCTCCGCCATGCCATTCTGCTGCGGGGTGTACGGGCATGTCAATTTGTAGACGATCCCCTTGCCGTCCACGAAGGCGGTGAAGTCCTTCCCGAGGAACTCCCCTCCGCGGTCAGAACGCAGTTGCAGCACCGAGTTCTTCGCCTGCCGCTCCACTAGAACCAGCCACTGCTGGAACTCCCGCAGCACGTCGGACTTCTTGGCGACCGGCCTCACCCACACGTAGCGGGTCTTGCGGTCCTTCAGCAGCAAGAAGTACAGGCTGCCATCCTTGGCAGCCACGCGGAACGGCCCGCACAGGTCGATGTGCACAACGGCCAGCACGTCAGCAGCGTCGGAGCCCTGGTCGGGGAAGGTGTGCCGCGCCAGAGTCGCGGCTTGCCAATGTTGCAAGTCCGCGGTGTGCCAACGCTGCAGCAAGTCGGCTGCACAGCATTGCACCCGCCTGACAACGGTGCACCAGCTTCGCAGGTGCGTGCAGCTGGTTGGTGCCCGACTCTCCGTCACACGCCCAGCGCAGACACTCCACTCGTGACGGCGCCCACCAGCCACGTCGACCTCGGGATACCACCCCCGAGGTCGTCCTCGCAGAAACCACCCTGGCGACTTCCGCACACATCGCCCGAGTATCCTGGTCGACCGGGTATCCATAGGACCAACAGACCAGTTGGTCCAACCGGTCCACTGGACCAACAGGCCAGTTGGTCCAACCGGTCCACTGGACCAACAGGCCAGTTGGTCCAACCGGTCCACTGGACCAACAGGCCAGTTGGTCCAACAGGTCCACTGGACCAACAGGCCAGTTGGTCCAACCGATCCATTGGACCAACAGGCGAGTTGGTCCAACCGGTCCACTGGACCAAAAGGCTAGTTGGTCCAACCGGTCCATTGGACCAGCACGCCAATTGGTCCAACCGGTCCACTGGACCAACCGGCCAATTGGTCCAAGCGGCCCACTTGACCAACTGGCGAGTTGGTCCATCCGGTCCATTGGACCAGCACGCCTGATGGTCCGACCGGTCCACTCGATCAACAGGCCAGTTGGTCCAACCGGTCCATTGGACCAACACGCCAGTTGGTCCAACCGGTCCACTTGACCAACTTGCCAGTCGGTCCAACCGGTCCATTGGACCAACACGCCAGTTGGTCCAACCGGTCCACTTGACCAACTTGCCAGTCGGTCCAACCGGTCCATGGGACCAGCACGCCAGATGGTCCAACCGGTGCACTAGACCAACAGGCCAGTCGGTCCAACCGGTCCATTGGACCAACAAGCCAGTTGGTCCAACCGGTCCATTGGACCAACAGGCCAGTTGGTCCAACCGATCCACTGGACCAACAGGCTAGTTGGTCCAACCGGTCCATTGGACCAACACGCCAATTGGTCCAACCGGTCCACTGGACCAACCGGCCAGTTGGTCCAACCGATCCACTGGACCAACAGGCGAGGCCCACTTGACCAACTGTCCAGTTTGTCCAACCTGTCCATTGGACCAGCACGCCAGATGGTCCAACCGGTCCACTGGACCAACAGGCCAGTTGGTCCAACCGGTCCACTGGACCAACAGGCCAGTTGGTCCAACCGGTCCACTGGACCAAGAGGCCAGTTGGTCCAACCGGTCCACTCGACCAAATGGCGAGTTGGTCCAACCGGTCCACTGGACCAACAGGCTAGTTGGTCCAACCGGTCCATTGGACCAGCACGCCAATTGGTCCAACCGGTCCACTGGACCAACTGGCCAGTTGGTCCAACCGGTCCATAGGACCAACAAGCCAGTTGGTCCAACCGGTCCACTAGACCAACAGGCTAGTTGGTCCAACCGGTCCACTGGACCAACAGGCTAGTTGGTCCAACCGGTCCACTGGACCAACTGGCCAGTTGGTCCAACCGGTCCACTGGACCAACAGGCCTGTTGGTCCAACCAGTCCAACCGGTCCATTGGACCTGCATGCCAGATGGTCCGACCGGTCCACTAGACCAACAGGCCAGTTGGTCCAACCGGTCCACTTGACCAACTTGCCATTTGGTCCAACCGGTCCATTGGACCAACAGGCCAGTTGGTCCAACCGGTCCATGGGACCAACAGGCCAGTTGGTCCAACTGGTCCACTGGACCAACAGGCCAGTTGGTCCAACTGGTCCACCATGCCACGCCAGGGCCGGCAGCTGCCACATAGATCTGTACACGTCCTTGCTCTCGTGCAGATCCCAAAGCATCCGATTGCCCAGCTTCCCCTTATAAGTGCGTGCCCCATCCGTGTTAGTGTTCACCCCAGCCTTGCCAAGCTTACGGAGGGAGATAAGGTTGGCCTTCAGGTCGGGGACGAAGAGAACGTCGTGCAGCACCACCGGCTTGCCATCCGCTCCCTTAAACGCAGCTCGTCCCGCACCAGCCACCTTCAACATGTGTCCAGAGGCGGAGCACACTTCATTGATCGGTGCAGCTCGTACTTCGTCCAGCAGGTCCTTGCGCGGCGTCATCGTCCAAGCAGCGCCTGTGTCCAACACCCAATAGTCTAGGGGGTGCAGCTCTGCTCCAACTTTGGCAGAGGCGTCTCCTTGCTCCCCCTTGTCTCCTACATGGAAGAATTGGCCCGCGGTGCGCTCCTTCTTCTTCTCCGCACCGCCGTTGCCCTTCGGGTTGTTGTCGGACGAATCAGCGACCATGTTGGCGCCGTTTTTCTGGTTCCTCCGCGCACCGCCATCCTGGTGACGATTCTGGGGGGTCCATCCATCGGGTTTCTTATAGCACAAAAACCAGGGGTGCCCTTCCTTCTCACAATACCAGCAACTCCCTTTCATTTTGCCACCAGCACCCGACTTGCCCCCACGTCCAGATTTCGCACCGCGACCCCAACCGGTACCTCCTTGTTGGTCGTTGGAGTCGTCGTCTTTCTTTGCACCGCGTCCAGCACCACCGAAGCCACGTCCTCTGCCACGTCGGCTCCCTTGCATCCCGTAGCCGCTGCTGCCGTCGTCTCCACCCCTCAGTTGGCGGCGACGGAAGTCCTCCTCCAGAATCTTCGTCCGCACCCACTCGAGCGTCCACAAGCTCTGTTGGGTGCAAATTTACATTGCACGACATCCTGCCGTCTGTTTGTACGAGTATGCGTGTGCGAATGCATTTGGGTGTGAATGGAATGTTCGTGTGTTTGTTTGCTTTCGCAATTTTCGCTTGATGCATTTGCAGGTACTCGCGCAATGTGCGCTTCGGCACAACATTGTACGCGCTATGAACAGTGCAAGCAGAAAGGACGAGCTCGCAAAGGAACCCAAGATGGAAGCTTTGCAGTTCGGTTGAGTTGATTGCGCAGATTCAGTTCTATCCAACTCGGAATTGTACTGTTTTGTTTGGTTAACTATAGTGTAGCAGGGAAGGCACTATAGGGGTACAATTTAGGTGAAGGTTGGATGTTGTTTGTCTGTATCTGCATGCTACAAGGCCAGGGGAAACCAGCGGAACCAGCATTTGGCTGGTTGGGCAAAGACAAAACAGGTTCTGTTTTTAGAACCTGAACCTGGTTGTTGTTTTCCCAGGTTGGAAAAACAGAACCAAAGGTTGTTTACCAACCTACCACCTGCTATTTTGTCCAGCCAGGTTGGTTCTGTTGCTTGGAATTATTTGGGATCATCCCTGGTTGTTCCCAGGTTGATTCCCAAGGTCCTTGCTAGCTAGAACTATTTATTCCTTCTCTGTTTGTACCTGAATATAGTCAAATTGATTCATGTGAATTCCTTCCTCGCTGGAATTTCGTTTCTACGCGGTTCGTTGGCGGAATGCTACCCGAGTCAACGCTAGTACGCTAGCACTCTAATGCTAGGCAAACACCGTCTGAGCCATAACTTCGTAATGGCAGAACTTTTCGCGAGGCAACTTGGCTCATTTTAAAGCTCTTGGAGCGAGCTTCGATATAGCGAATTCTCAGCTTAATCCGATCGACGGTCTGCACGGCACGCTACGCGACGTTCAAGGTACTCTTGCTGTTTTGACTAAGTCCTTCTTGATCCCTCTCTCTACAAACTCGGACCCGAGGATAGGGGCTGGTCTTGTACCAGGCACCCAGGGACCCTTGGAGGTGACCCCGAGGAGAGGTTTTAAGTTTGATTAAGTCCTAATAGCTTGAGTTTATTAGGCCCTTACACCAACAAGCTGGTATCAGAGCCGCGTTATAGTGATCCTCGTTATAGGTAGCTATGGCGGGCAACACCTCGGCGGGAGCTGGTGAATCTTCAGCCCAAGATCGTAGCGGCAGCCAAGATTCTGGTCTTTCAGCGCCAAGGGGAGCGCGAACAAACCAGGGCTCGCTTGTCAAGGAGGTGCTGAAGAATTTCACCGTCGAGAAGTTCAATGGTGAGGGCTATGATGA